TATCAAATATGATACATTTGGCATTACAGGGTTAAATAATACTTTATTATTTTTCATTTAGCTTTCGTTTGTGAACTGATTGTTTGAACACTTAGACACTTTTCTTTGTCTTGTTGGTCTCATTCCAAAATCCTCAAAAACAACCTTTGACTTTATTTCCTTTTTAGTTTTAGTTTTATCCGTATTTGCTTTTCTGTTCCATTTGCTTCTTTTTTCATATGTTTTCCTTCCATTTTGCCAACACAAACATAATGTTGGATGACTCTTCATTTCCAGAATCAAGTGTGGAGAGAAATCAAATATGCCATGACCTCTCTGCCGTGTATCAGCATCCCCACAGTGGCCTTGTTTTTCGCTGAAGTCAGGGGATACAGCAAACTGTACGACAACGTCAGCGACTCTCCTTTGGGTGAGTTATACAGACTTTTGTTCCTGTTGTTTTCTTACGCTTGTTAGAACCTGTCTAAATCTTGAATTCCCTCCTAATTCACTGCTGATGTCTCCTCTGTGCTCCTAGGTTGGCCAGGCCTCTTCCTGAGTATGATCTCCTTCCTATTGTTCACTGATATGTGCATCTACTGGATTCATCGCTTCCTGCACCACAAGCTTATCTACAAGGTGTGCACACCTGTATTTTATTTTTTTGTTTGTTTGTTTGTTTGTTTCCAGTGCCAGTAGCTCCCAACAGTTGTATACGTAGGTCTTTATTGCACCCTGTTGGCTTATTATATTAAATATTGGTGTTTTCTTTTTACTCTATTTGTTAGTAAACAAAAAATGTCCCGCGGGTCCTTAAAAAGTCTTAAAAGGCATTGAATTCTTCAAAATAAAACCAAGGCCTTAATTGGTATTAAAATGTATTAAATCAGTCTTTCGTAGGTCTTAATTTTTAAAACATCATGAATAGGATTATTTTTAATTACGATTTATTTTTGTAATCTAAATAAAACGTTAAAATTGACATGTTTGTTTTTTTAAATAAAAATAAAATAACGGCTCGCCATTATTAGTTCCGTCCCGATAGCGGAACCAATAAAGCGTTGTTGCGGCCGGGACA